ATAAATCTGTATATACCTGTGTAACCAAATATCTAGTTGTTCCTGATTGCTGTCAAGTAGATTATAACTCACGACGACCCCATATGTATGGAGTAGAACTGCTCCATAGAGTTTTCAGGGCTATGACCTTTTGGAAGCAGTTCTTTCTTGCCAGGTGCCTCTGGGTGTGTTTGAACCACCAGCCTTTTGGTTAGTTGAGCGTTTAACCATTTGTGCCACCCAGCGACTCCTACGGTATAGATGTTGTTGTTGGTTGCCGTCCAGTAGATTTGAACTCTTAGTGACCCCATGTATGTCAGAGGAGAAGTCTACGTCATACGATTTTTTAATGGCTGATCTCTCTGAAGTAGATTGCCAGGCCTTTCTTCCAAGGTCCCTCTGGGTGGACTCAAACCACCAACCTTTTAGTTTGTAGCCAAGCATTTTAACCGTTGCACAATCCAGGGACTTCAGCATACAGATACTAATAGCTAATTCTGAACTCAGCTGTACGGTAAGCATTACTTAAGCAAAAAATTGTAATTTGGAAAGGAGAATAGCTGCTACATGGCCACAGCTGGTCTTAATACAAAAAGCGCCGCCCTATCTCAGCATTAGCTATGGCACATAGCTGGCATTATAAAGCCTGGTCAGTTTGAAGAGAATGCTTTGGATTTACAGTCAGTAGATATGTTGCATGAAAATTTATTCCCATCTAGTTAGTCATTTCACAACCGAATTATAAAGCCACATTTCTGTGTCAATATTAAGTCATGCCATCTACAGCTTAAAATCTCTCAAACCAATGTGAAGGGATATTTATGTACTCGGACCCAAGATAAAGCAACCAGGTATGAGAAAGCTACATTTCTTTTCTAATTATTTCAGTAGGCGACGTATTTAAGTATAGTCCCCAAATATCTCACTTGCCCCATGCAAAATAAAAAGAGTACTATTTGCCACATGATTGAGAAGGATGAAGTGACTTGAAATCCCTGGGAAAAAGGCAGTTGTGAATGCAAAGTATCCTTTTAAGTAAACTAAGAGTCGAAGGACATTTGGAAATGTTATCACTAAACTAGTGGAAAGATGGGGCACTAAGAAGGAAGACTGTTCATGCATCCTTAGTTTTAATCTGAAGGATGAACTAACTTATGTCAAGAACTTAATAACACAAAAGTTTTCCCCAAAATCAATAGATTGTATTCACTTTTTTTTTTTTTAACACAGCATGAGAAAGTAATTCAAGAGCTGTCCTTCAACAGCAAATTATAGAAGAGCCTCAAGTAACCAAAACAGTGGGGGCAAAAGGGATTGCCGTAATCTCATCCAAATTCTGATTGGTTAGGGCTTAAGCAGAAATGCCCGGTCCATGAAACATCCAACGTGTATCACGCAACTCATCCTGTGTTGTTGTTAGCTGCCAGCTAGTCGGTAACAACTCATGGCAACCCCACGTGTGCAGAGTAGAATTCCTCCATAGACTTTTCAAGGCTGCGACCTTTCAGACGCAGATCACCAGGCTTGTTTCCCGAGGCGCCTCTGGGTGGGTTTGAATCGCCAAACTTTTGGCTAATAGTGAAGTGCTCAATCGTTTCTGCCACCCAAGGACTCATTCATCCTGTGTACTGCAGAATGCCACAGCTACTACAGTTAATATTTATTGAACACCTGCAGTGTAACAGGTGCTGATGAATGCTCTCTCCTCATTCATTTCTCGTGATAGCACTATGCCGTCCGGACTATTAGGACCCCCATTTTAACGGATGAGGAAACTGAGGGACAAGGAGATTAGGTAAGCAGAATGAATGCCATCTTCTGATAACTAAGATTCTCTTGTCACTTCACCATCATTATTCCGAACTTTAACACTATTATAATTGTCTGCAGGTGGTAAAGGCAGGAGTCACAATCTGTTTTGAACCTGGGTCATGGTCTGGAATTTTGAATGTATTTCTGACATTAGAATGCTTTACTGTCATTTATCTCCAAATTTAGCAGTGGAAGGGGAGCAGTTAACTAGGAATACCAGATAATCCAGTGCCTATTTTAATGCTCTCTTAATATACAGTAGCTGCCCATGTTGCTGTACTTGTGGTGAAAACCAGATGCCTGGCAAATGAGTGAAGGTGGTGTAATCACATTCTAATTAGTACCTGGCAGCATCGCAAAGTTCTCTGCCTTATGAAAGCACTAAATCCTACTTGAGTTAAGGGTCCCACCACAACAATTCCAGATTGTTCAATGGTCATTTAATCAAACACTTCTAACTCATGCAAAGTTTGTTATTTTTAGAAATTTTATCTTTTGATAAACTTTATAATGGCAAGAATAACCTCCAGATCACAATTCTTCCTTCTGCTTATTGATCATGAAAGTCAGAGGGGTTGGCCTTTAATTCAGTTTCCTTTAAACAGGCAATGGCTGCTGAGACCGTCATCTTGCTGCGACTGGTATTTAACCACACTTTGACACCATGGCTGACCATCTGCCTTTACAGCCATCTCACTGTCTCTTTGGGCATAAAGTCTCACAACCATTGCCTTAAAAAAAAAAAAAAAAAGCCAAATAATGTCTAAGCTCTACTATGGAAATTAAAAAATAAAACAGTAAAAGGGAAGGGAAAGACTTCAAGCTCATGTTTCATTTATATTGATGAAAACGAGCTGTAGAAAAATGCAGCATATCTTTGTGAAAGTGCATAAAATATTTAGAAACTCCGACAATAAAACATCTCTGTTAGTAAGTGGCTTTATTGTTGTATCTGAACATAACAATGTATAACATTTATTCATTTCCCACTGAAAGATCTTCCAGTGAAACTGTTAAATAGAACATAGATCCAGGCATTAGGCATTTTCAGTGATGTTCTTCCTTTGAAAGGGTTGGTAGTTGGGGGAGGAACCAGAGATCTTTTCCATACTTTCAACTGGGACTATCACACTGCTGTGCAGAAGAAACAGCCAAGAGATGCAACAGCTCTACAAGTGAAAAAAAGCCAAGAATGGTGCCCAGAGCCGGAAGATTGAAACTAGGAGTGGACAACTTCACCTTTCCCATGTACAACATGCTCTGAATCTAAAACGAGCCCTGGCGGCAAACTAAGAGTGACAGTCTATTTCCTGTGGTTTATTAAGTTTTGGCCCCATAGATAAGACTGCCAGAAAAGCAGCTGCAGCTTAAGTGGTCTGGACATTCACTCATCTGAACATAAACAAAGAGCAGCTAATTTAGATCTCTGGGTCCCTCTTCAGCTGTTCGGACCGCCGCGGGCACGGCTCAAACCAGGCCAAATATAAAAGAAGTGAACTGGGGTTGAAGAACCCCTGGACTGTGATGGATTCCCTGAGTCATCAGGACCTCAGGGGCTTTAAGGCCCTGAACAAAAGATTCACTGTTGGCCTCAGCACCAGTGTAGTGGCCTCCACTGCACTCCACTTCCGATAAAACACGCTCTTGTGAAAATAACCACGGCGTGCACCCTCCTAATGACTGCACTTTGAGATCCCATGCCAAATTACTAATGTAAACCAAACCACTACATTTAGTGTCAAACATGTATTTCGTAAATATCAGGGAAAGAAACTATTCCAGATAGTTGAAAACAACGCAACAAATACAGGAGCCTAACCCTAAGTTTAAAACAAAAACATTTAAAAGAAATACTGCCACTATTAACTAAGATTCAATAACATAGTAAAACACTGTGCAGTGGAGGGATTAATTCGAAAAATATATAATTATTTCACAGTGAGATCTAAGTACTCATAGAATCTTCTGGTTTTAGTAGAAACAGACACCCAATGATGTATTTTTTTCACATTTTTTCGCATCATTTCTTTCCTTCTACTATTTCATACAGAATAAGACATTAATGTGGTCAAACATTACACTATCAAATGACAAGTCACCTTTTGCTCCCCCTTATAATTAGGAAATTATGTTATCGATTAACTGTGCATCTCAGGCGGAGGAGGGAGGGAACGATCAACTGTGTGTCACTGATAAAAACATGGTAGTGCCACACTGCATGTATCCCAGTCTAGACAGATTGTCAGAGATGTAGGACGTGAACCGGACTTGAGTTTGCCATGGGGTCCATCAGTTACATACACATTGCTTTCCTTATCAAGTCTGACATTTCCATATATAGGTTAAAAGAAAAAAAAAAAAAAAACTCCACAGGAGCAACCCTGACAGAGAAGTCTTACAGGCAGGCTACTCCTGAGAATATAATCTTAGTTACTCTGGAAGCCAGCAAACCATCTTCTCACGTTCGTGTTAAAAGCAAATCAGTTGAACGGCCACAAAGTCCAACTAAAATAGTCCTTGAGTTTATTGGTCAGTTTGTTAAATGTCAGAGCTCTTCACATTGTTGAAAAAAATTAGTGGCTCTTGTTATTTAAACATCAAAGTATCCTGAAGGCTCTCTCAGGCAACATTAATGAGTTCCTTGGTGGGTGGTTAAACTTTACCACCCGTTTACAATGTCACCCTTCTTGTCAGAGACCACCAAACCAGTGGAGTCAGCTGCCAAGCCTTCTTTGTAGTGGTAATAAGTTCCTTTTTCCTTAAATAGAAACAAAACTCCTCTGTGTGACACTGAGCAAAGAAAAAGCATGCACCCAAATCTCTTTCTGGCTACGTTGCGGGCGCAGGGACCCTTCTCTACCCTAAACGGGGCCAGGTTTATGGCATTGCAATGCCACAAAAGCCATTCCCCCATAGCTGTCCCAAGGCCTCCACGTGAAGAAGGCCTCCCACCATCCATGTGTCCTCTGCTCTTGGCCTTGACCACCAAGCACCATCTATTTACTTCATGAGGGGATACGGGGTATTGGAAAGGGTGCCCAAATTGGCTCTCTGTTCCCTTTGGCCTCCCCCTTGGCAACTGCATAAAAAGGGACAAGGCGAAGGTCTGACACAAAGGGAGCTTTCCCTGAGGTGGGTTGAGGGGCTCCGCGGGGAGGTGGCTTCTCAAGGCCAATGAGACGGTCTCCACATCTCTGGAAGCCCTGGACCTAGTCCGCAAATCGCTGCAGAAGATGGTCTTCTCGCCTCAAGCTGCCCCCCGTCCCGCTGCCTGCGCTGTCCATGAAGCGGTCGCACGGGAACTCGATGAGGTCGGCCTCGCTGAGCGCACACACGGTGGTGCGCGGCCGGTGCGACTGGAATCCCCCAAAGTCTGCAGACACGCCAGTTCCCATCGAGCGCAGGGGCCGTCGGGTGGAATACATGTGGCGAACGTGGACCGGGGCCCCGCCCTTCCGCCTGGCCCGCAGCTTCCTCCGCAGCCAGCGCGACGCCCAGGCAGCCAAGGCCAAGAGCACCAGCAGCGCGTTGACGGCCAGCAAGACCAAGGTCAGCAGCTGGTAGTCGAAGCTGCCGCGGCTCCCTGGTTCCGGCAGGGTGACCAGCCCGGCGCAGTGGTCCCGCGGGGCCACGGGGCAGACCCGGCCGCCGAGCACGCCCTCAACGCATACCAGGTAGGGTGTGTCCCCGCGCAGTTCGCGTAGCGTGGCCGAGTCACTGCGTTCGGGCAGGTAGACGAAGCGGTGGAACTTGGGCTGCTGACCAAAACGGTCGAAGAGCAGGCGAAAGCGCGCGCCGCCCAGCGGCCGGGGGCTGCGGTGCTCGCGCACAGCCCAGCGCACCGAGGCGCTGTTGGCGCCCACCGCCTCCACCGTCAGGTTGCACAGGATGAACTTGTTGAAGTCGCATGGGTCGGTCACCAGCGGAGGTAGGCCGACCCTGCCGTAGGCCTGGGCGGCGCGCTCCTGCTGCTCCGCGGCCAGGCTCTGCTTCGCCGCGCGCTGCCAGGGGTCGTCGGCCGGAGGAGGCGCAGAGCCAGACGCCACCGTCCGGGTGGGCTCCGCAAGTGCAGGATCGGCCCGGGTCGGGCGTCCCCCTTCGGCTTTCTCGTGCAGGTCCAGCAGGTGTGGCGCCGGGACCGCGACAGCGGCGGCGGAGGGATCCGGCTGCTGGAGGCTGGGGCCCCGCTGGCTCAGCCTCAGTACGCTGCGGTTGCTGATGAACTCCCTGACGGTCCCATCCCAGGCCACGCCGGGCAGAAATCGCCCCCGCTGCTGCGGCTGCGGCTGGGGCGGCAACTCCTCGGCGAGGCTGCCTGCAGGGGGCGCCATCTTTTCCCCCGCTGCTGTGGGTAGAAACAGCCGCCTACTGTCAGCGGTCGGGGAAGCAGAGAGCGAAGAATCCACGCAAGACCCATTCTGCAGCTGCTGGTCATCTAGGTAATCCAGGTACTTGCCCCGAAGAGCCGGAGGGTGGCGACACTGCACGAAAACGGTGAGGAGCCGGCCCTGAGAGTGCCAGTTTCCCATCCAGCGCTTCAGGCCCCGCAGCCGGCAGTCGCAGGTCCAGCCGTTGCCGTCTAGATCCAGCCGGTAGAGGGCCGGACTGGCCGCGAAAATGTCCCCGGAGAGGGCGCTGAGCGCGTTGTCGCGCAGGCTGAGCTCGCGCAGGCGGCCGAGATGGCCGAAGGTGGCGGGGTGCAATGTGGACAGCTCGTTGCCGCTTAGGTCCAGCGCCTCCAGGCTGCGCAAAGGCTCCAGCAGTGCCGCAGGCAACTGATTCAGCCGGTTGTCCTCCAGGCGCAGCTCGCGCAGGGCCTCCAAACCCCAAAAGGTCTCCGGGGCGAGGTGTGAGAGCTGGTTGCCCCTGAGCGACAGCAGGCCAAGGCGTGGCAGGTGCTGGAAGACGCGTGGCCCGAGGTGCTGCAGGCTGTTGGAGGAGAGGATGAGGGTGGAGAGGGAGCGCAGCGGTGCGAAGGTGGCCGCGTGGCGCAGGGAGGGTTGTAGCTCGTTTGCAGAGAGGTTGAGGAAGCGCAGCTTGCCCAGATGGGCGAAGGCGTTCTTGCCCAGAAAACGGATCCGGTTGGACTCCAGGTGTAGGTAGAGCAAGTTGCTCAGGGGGGCGAAGACGGCGTCCGGCAGAGCCCCCAGGGCGTTCCCGTCCAGCCGCAGCTTGACTAGACTCTCCAGGCCCTCGAAGGAACCGCGATTTAGGCGTCCTATCTCGTTTCCGTTGGCGTAGAGGATGCGCAGCTTGCGCAGCGGGGCCAGCGTGCCCGGAGCTAGTGCTTGCAGGAGATTGTTCCCCAGGTACAGCTCCTCTAGCCGCGAGAGTTTCTCGAAGGTCTTGGGGTGTAGAGAGCGGATCTGATTGTATTGCAGGTCCAGCCGTCGGAGCTGCCCCAGGCGGTGGAAGTCGAAAGCCGTGATGTTGGTTATGAAGTTGCCGCCGAGGCTATAGGTGAGCACCTCCTGGGAGCTCGGCAGCGAGCTGGTCTTGGGCACGGCGCGGAGCCCCCTGTTGGTGCAAAGGAGGTGCTGAGGGTGCTGGCAGTCGCAGCGCTCGGGGCACACGGGCTCGGCCCGCGGCGGGAGCGCGAGGCAGCCGCACACCAAGAGCAGGAAGCGCACGGCGCGGGCAGCCTCCATCGCCGCCTGCCCTGCGTGCTGCGGCCGGATCGTCCTCTTGGCCCGCCGGCTCTGTGTCTCCTCTGCATTCCCCTTGGCCTGGCCAGAGTCGCTAAACGGCCTCTTTCGGACTCCGCTGCGCCGTCTGGCCCCTTCCTCGCCTTTTGTCCGGTGGCTGGACCGGGTCTCTGCAGGCGGGATTCGCCTGGCCAAGTCAGGCGGCCCTGGGGGCTCGGCGAGCTACTTGTTGCATTTCTGCAGAAAACAGTTTCTCCCGGTGCGCGTTGGGGGGCGGGGGCGGGAGCAAGACCTCGCGCTTTTTGTTTGCTGTAGAGGCCGGAGAGCTGGATTCCCTGGCGCGGATTTTCCTCGCCGAGTGGATTCCCCCAGCTGCAGGCGGGAACCCTTCCAAGAGCTCCTCGGGGCGCGGCTTGGCTGCTGCGCCCCAGCGCTCGGCCCCCGCAGCCGGCTCCTCCTCGCTCGCGTTCCCGGACACTGAGCGCGGCCTCCGAGGAACAGCCCCGGGAGGAGCCGGAGGCGCGCAGGCTGTGTCCGGAAGGGTCCAAGCTCGGCGAGTGGCGAGAAAATCAGGCGGAAATTCGTTCTTCCCACACTCTGCCCCCCTCCCCCCCCCGGGGACGCAGGCGGAGAAAGAGGATACGGCGGAGGGAGGACAGACCTCGGCAGGGGGAGGAGGAAACACTAAGTGGCTCCACGTCTGGTCAGCCGGAGTCCAGGACGCCAAGTGAGAAAAAGTAGGGATTAAAAACAGCTGTACCGGTCGGCCACGCAGGGCTGGGGGCGGGGGTGGATTACCGGGCGAGCAAACGGGATTTGCAGACAGAGACCTTTTTATTTTAGATAAGTACACCCGCCGTTTCGGAGCAGTGGGCGCGCGCCTCGCGTTCTTCGTTTTTAAGTCAGTTGCTCTTCCAGGAGCCAGTCTGAGGGAAGTTCTGGCAACACGGAGTCCGCCAGCATTCTTTAGGAAGTTTTGTCGAACCCAAAGTTGTCTGCAGAGACCTCTCGGTGGGCTGCTCTTGGTGGTCAACCCATTCTGACTGTTGCCTGTTTGGGTTTTTGACCTGTGTATGTGAGTAGCCAAGGAGAGGCACCACCCCCGTTTAGATACCTGACTGGAGTATTTGCTTGGTCCTGCTGCAGGCAAGAGCGTGGAGAAAGCTCAGAACTGGTTCTTCCACTGTGAAAATATCTCCGGCAAATTTGAGTGATTCAGGCCCATAAATTCAACGGTCTTACAGCCCTTGGGGCAGACTCCTCACGTGTGCATATATATAATAACCTTTGCAGACACTGCGTAACTGCTCACTGCAGTGCCCTCCTGCTTCATGCCTGGACTTGCAGTGCTCCTCAAACGTCTTAAGCCTGGCTTAATTGAAGAAGTAATATGTTTTATTATCAATAGAGAATGGAGCATTTATTTATGGCTCCTCTGGGACAGCCCCTGCTTAGAGTGAGAATGGACAAGGAATAGCTTTAATTGCTACTAGTTTATGCAAACCACCTTGCCAAAATAATTGCCTCTTCAACCCCCTTCCCCAGGATGTTCAGAAAATGTAATTTTGAGTACCTACTCTGTGCAATAGCCTGGTGATCTGCTTCTGAAAGATTACAGTCTTGAAAACCCTGTGGAGCAGTTCTACTCTGCACACATGGGGTTGCCATGAGTCAGAATTGACACTAAGGCGATTACATAACAACAACAACTCCGCAACAGAGGCTCCTGGGTGGTGCAGACTGTTTGCACTCAACTACTACCCTAAAGGTTTGTGGTTAGAACCCACCCCGTGGTTCCACCAGTAAAAGACCTGATGATCTGCTTCCATAAAGATCATAGCCAAGAAAACCCTATGGAGCATTTCTATTCTGTAACACATGGGGTCACCATGAGTCAGAATCTATTTGTGGCAACAGGTTTATTCTGTATAACAGTGTGGACAATTAAAGGAACAAGACATCTCACCTCAAGAAGCTTGTCTATCGGGAAGGGCAAGGCATTGAAAGTTTAGGTAATATGAGGCAGTGGTGTGAGAAAGATGTAAAGGTGGTATATGAACTTTGGTAATTCCAGGGTTTGATAGTGACTAATTGCCTCATTTAGCAGTTAATACAGGCAATGTCATTAATATCACACACAAGTAAAATTTTGCTGAAGATCATTCAAAAGTGGTCACAGCAGTACATCGACAGGAAACTGCTGGAAAGTCAAGCCAGATTCAGAAGACATGGAACAAGGGATAATGATTGCTGATGTCAGATGAACCTTGGCTGAAAGCAGAGAATACTAGAAAGATGTTTACCTGTGTTTTATTGATGATGCAAAGGTATTCGACTATGTGGATCATAATGAACTATGGATAACATTGCGAAGAATGGAAATTCTAGAACACTGAATTGTGCCCACAAGGAAACCGTACATAGATCAAGAGGCAGTCATTCGAACAGAACAAGGGAATACTGCATGATCTAAAATCAAGGAAAGGTGTTCATCAGGGTTATATCCTTTCACCATGTTTATTCAATCTGTATGCTGAGCAGATAAGCCGAGAAACTGGACTATATGAAGAAGAATGTGGCATCAGAATTGGAGGAAGACTCATTAACAGCCTGCGGTATGCATATGATGCCACCTTGCCTTGCTGAAAGTGAAGAGGACTTGAAGCACTTACTGATGAAGATGAAAGACCACAGCTTTCAGTATGGATTATATCTCAGCATAAAGAAAACAAAAATCCTCACAACTGGACTCGTAAGCAACATCATGATAAACGGAGAAAATATTGAAGTTGTCTACGATTTGACTTTACTTGGGTTCACAATCAACGCCCATGGAAGCAGCAGTCAAGAAATCAAACGGCGTATTGCACTGGGCAAATCTGCTGCAAAAAAACCTCTTTAAAATGTTAAAAAACAAAGATGTCACTTTGAGGACTAAAGTGTCCCTGACCCAAGCCGTAGTGTTTTCAGTCACCTCATATACATGTGAAAGCTAGGCAGTGAATAAGGAAGACGGAAGAATTGATGCCTTTGAGTATGGTGTTGGCAAAGAATGTTGAATATACCGTGGACTGCCAGAAGAATGAACAAATCTGTCTTGGAAGAAGTACAGCCAGAATGCTCCTTAGAAATGAGGATGGCAAGACTTTGTCTCACGTACTTTGGACATGTTATCAGGAAGAACCGGTCCCTGGAGAAGGACATCATGCTTGGTATGATGGAGGGTCAGTGAAAAAGAGGAATACCCTCAGTGAGATGGATTGACACAGTGGCTGCAACAGTGGCCTCAAACATAGCAAAGAGGACGGCGCAGGACCGGGCAGTGTTTCGTTCTCTTGTATGTGGGGTTGCTGTGAGTCAGAAATGACTGGATGGCACGTAACAACAACAAAGAACGTAGGTGAGTGATAGAGACACGTTCTGAATGTAGAGAAAGATGAGGTCACTGGCAGATGTGGTCGGTGAGGACTTCATGGGTGAGGAGGGACCTCAGCTCCGCTGGAAGATGGGTGTTGAAGAACAAAAGATAGATAGGTAGCGAATGTCCACTCAGGGCACAGTGAGGCGATCAGGTTTGCTTGTGATTTGCCTTGAGTTTTCACATAAAAGGTGAATTTGGGCAACCAACTGTCTGTCTTAACAAGATGAAATATGAAGTTATCCAGGTAGTTTGGTAGTTTGTTTTTTAATTCTCATTGTGAGAAACTTCCAGAACTCCCTATATGAGGGCCTGGTTGCCTTGTGGGTGTAACACGAGCTTGCACAGTGACGCCTAAGCTCCCAGCTTCCCTGATCTGGGGCAGTAAAGCTGTTACGAGGACAGTCAGCCCTTGCTGACAGCACTGTCATGCCACAGGGTTATTCTGATTTTTCAGGGGAAATAAATCAGACTTTCAGACTGAACCACTGACCAGTGTGCCTGGGATGGAGCTGCAGCATCTGCTTTGAGCCCATAGGAGAAGCTGCCTCCTTCAGCCTCCAGACAGAGACAGCCTTCTGAGTGGAGCAGAGGTTAGCTGCTGAGCTGGGTGTGGTGTAGAAGAGGGAAAAGCAGAAGTCACATCTACCCCTTTGAATAAGCCTCTCTCTCCTCCTGACTCTTTGCAGAAGACTTGCAGAATAAGCAAGGGCCACTTCTAGTTGGGACCAATCACGCATTCCACTAGGTGTCTTTCCTTATAATGGCTCCTCTGGTGGCGCAGTGGTTAAGAGCTATGGCTGCTAACCAAAAGGTCGACAGTTTGAATCCTCCAGGCGCTCCTTGGAAACCGTATGGGGCAGTTCTCCTCTGTCCTATAGGGTCGGTATGAGTCAATTGACTTGATGGCAGTGGTTTTTTTTGGCTCCTCTGTATACATACCCTGTCTATGTAAGATCTGCAGAGTTACCAGATCACTGTAGATGTTCAATATTTTTTAACATTGTGTCTGTCTTTGATATTATTGCCCAATGTTTAATATTTCCACCAGTAGTCCTGGATTGACAGGAGAAATAACATCATATATGATTTTGTGTCAAAAGACAATCCTTTACCATTTTCCTGAAGTCATCCATCTGCGACATGCAGTAACTTTGTTTAAAATGGGTATAGTGTGTCATATTTCAAATAAGTATAAACAGTTTCTGATACGATGATTTGCTTCTGGTTAGAAAAAAGGTGTCACCACCACCTTCAATCCAGTTTCTGTAAAAAGATTTTGAGGCCTAGAGAGAAAGTTATAACGCACACAAGTATATGTGTGCATGTAAATTCTTTCTGAAAAGTGTGACTCCCATATTTTTAACATATGCTCCCCTTTTTAAAAGCATGTATTCTGTAAAGTTTGACCTTACAAATGAGTGACATTTGAATATTTTAGAGTAAATTATCTAATCTTTGCACATGCACTCAGTGACCTCTATTTCTGTAATGCCACATGGTTGGGCATTTATTGTCAGACCATCTCTCTCGTTTAGGAATTAAAATGGTATTTTGTGTGAATTCAGTAATACTTGAAGCCTCT